GTCAACGAAGCAGCACCCATAACACGGCCGCAAACGCATCCCAAAAGCCAAAGCCCCGGCTCAGGTCCATGCAGCTCATTCTAAGGAGCTACCCATGCCAGAAGCCATCACCAGAACCACTGCGTTTTAATTTCAACGCCAATAGCACAGACGGTATGGCTGCCCCCGAAGGCAGCAGGCTAGGTGCGGACAAAGCGTGACGGCGACGAGGTGCAGGGCGGGAGGCACACACAGTGGGCTCTGCTCTGAAGGCAGTGGCACCATCACGGCTCACTGCAGCCTGGGCCTCCTGGTATCCAGCTATCCCCCTGCCTCAGCCTCATGAGTGGCTGGGACTACAGGCGCATGCCACCAGACCTGGCTAATTTTTTAGTTTTTTATTATTTTTTGTAGAGACAGGTTCTCGTTATGTTGCCCAGGCTGGTATCAAACTCCTTGGGTCAAGCAATCCTCCCACCTTGGCCTCCCCAAAGTGCTGGGATTACAGGTGTATGCCAGCACAAAACAATTTTTTTTTTAAGATTCAGCTGTAATTTAAATTTCCACGTTCTAAGAAATCCCTTCACCTTCTTTTCCTTCCTCCAGCCAGCGATGCCGGAACACTGGGGCATGACAGCGTAAGTACCTAGAGATGACAGTGAACAATAAAGACAAAGCATTGGAGTAGATGGGCACCGCGGCCAGGCAGCTGGCAGAGCAGAGGCCACAGGGGCCAGCAGCAGGGAGCAAGGAAGCACTCCTGGATGGGAGGCTGCACAGCACTGGAGGGCACGGCTCGGGAAGAGGAAGTGGGCACCATGAAGCCAGTGTGCCCCCACGTGCACCCCGCGCCATCCCATGAACCTCTCTGCAGATCCTTCCCATCCTCTTGCCCACAATTGGGGTGCACCGTCCGCTACTGCTGCCCCCAACACTGATCCCGGGAGGCTAAGCATGGGGGCTCCATCCGACCTCACTGACTCAGGTGCCCATGGCTTCTGGCCTCACACGGGCAGCAGCAGTCACCCGCCCCGTGGCTGTGCCACCGCTGTCCTGAGGCCTTGGTGCAGGCCGCTCTCCAGATCCCTCCTGCTGTGTGTCTCAGGCTCTGTGCACTCCCAGCGTACCCAACAGGGCCTGAAATGGACCCTAGTCAGCCTTCCTTAGGGCAAGGTCACGCTCACCCGCAGCACACCTGTCAGCAGACAGCCTCAGGTAGGGGAGCCCTCCCAGAGTCACCAAAAAGCCGTGAGTCCCACCCTGCCTGAGACCCAGCACCAGGTGTAAGCGCACACCACGACTGTCAGCAAAGAAGTCGGAGGATGCAGGTGCCGGGGGCGACGGGGAAAGGAGGTGGAGGTAGCCCTCCTGCACCCTCAGTATCAGAGACGTCAGGGCAGAAAGAGCGGAGACGGGGCAGTCCATCTCATGGCAGGGAAGAGGAGTAAGGCCGCTGTGGACATGACACTGGTCACGTGGCCACAAACCACACAGGGTTTCCTATTTTCCACTCAGACAGCAAATGGCAACTGTGGGGTGCGACGACAGTCCCTCAATATTTACTTCAAAGAAAACACGACTCACAAGGACGGTCCCTGGCAGCTGTGCTGCAGGGTCACACCAATGCAGCATGATGGCGCTTCCCAGCCCAGCAGCAGGGCACCGCAGCCACCAGGGCCCTCCTGGAGCTGCCGCTGCTGCCGGCTGCAGACGTGGCCTCAAACCCACCGCCCAGCGGCAATCCACAAGCATAGCGCACACCCACCCTCCACGGAGCAAAGAAGGAAGGCTATCTTCACAGAAGCTGTCCACTGACTCAGAAAATAATTGACTACAAGAAGTAAGAGCAATAATCATCTCAGAAGTAGAACAGGAGGAAAACCGCCAAGTGTGAGCCCAGCACAAGGAAAGGGGGCGGGAGCAGGGGGCGGGGTGAAGGGCTAGGGGCAAAGGCCCCAGCCCCAGGATATAAAACAGATGGCCAGAAGAGGGAAGGCCAGGCCTCCTGGCCACCCGCCCTGAGGAGATTTCTAGCAGCTCTGTCAGATTCTGAGTCCATTGGCACATAACCATTCTTAAATGACAGCTGAAATACTAATTAGAAGTGAATACTAAGCTAATCCTAAGTCAGTGATCTAGAAACTTACAGCAGCCATGCCCACTTCTTTGTGTTCTCTGCCTCAGGCTGAGGTGCTGTTCCTTGCCTTCCCCATCCACCTGGAGTGAGTGCAGGATACAGGGTCTCCTGTCAATCAAGCCAGCGCTCAACCAGGGCAAGTCAAAGGTACTGGGATGGGGCGGGGAGCTGAGCCATCTGCAGCGTTACATGAAGGACACTTCTGAGGTCAAGTCTGGCTGGAGGAGTGAGAGCCCTAGACCCACGTGCACTATCCTCCTGGAGGCAGGTGGGTGGGGAGGAGAGCGAATGGGCCCTGCGACCCCCGCACACGGCTCGGGGCTTCTCAGCCTAGTTGGCAACATGGAGGCGAGCGGGCTTCTCTGGGCCTTTTGAAACATCCTTCTGTTTCCCAAATGTGCGGTCAGCCTGGAGGACGAAGCCTGCATGTGCAGGGTGTGGCACGGTGGGAATGAGAGCTGGCCAAATGACGAAAAAAGAAAGAATTTCCACAAACAGAAAACGAGGGGAATTGCTCCACAGCTTTAACAGAAAAGGCAGCTTCAGATGAACACAGCTGTTTATTTAAATCACACAGCAGTTTCCTTCAAAAGAGAAGCAGCAGCCAGGTATGAGATTCCACCCGCCATGCTGTGTCAGCATTGGCCTCTCCTGAAGCCGTCTGTGATTTAAGATCCCACAAATATGACCAATAATAGCAATCAGGAGGTGAGAAGAACGTATGAGAGTTCACGGGAAAAACAAAAACAAGCGATTTACAAATGATTATTCATTTAACATAAAGAGCAGTCAGTACAGCAGCTTTCTTCATTCTGCAGTGAGGCCACTAAGAGAGCGGGGACTTGGAGGGGCCACTGAAGAAGCAGGAATGAGCAGCAGTCGCGACCCTGCTCCCAGTGAGAAGGCGTGTGGGGCAGTAGCAGTGACGGAGGAACCAGAGACACCGGAACAGAGTCTTGTTCAGGAATTCCAGACCCCAGAGTCCTTCCTGAACTCAGCCCTGTGCTGGCACTGATGGGCCTCCCCGCCTGCTGAGAAAAGCTGGAATCTCTGCCCTCACAATAGAGTTGGCAGAGTTTTGTCAGCAATCATCAACAGAAGCACTGCAGCAATCTAGAATAAACGCCGGGTCTATCTTTAAAATTCCAAGTGGATTTTGTTTAGGGGTAGAGACAGAACAAGGGAATAGGGAAGGTGGCATGCCTCACTTTTCCTAGGAACTCAAGTCCAGCAGCGTTTTAACTATGATACAATTTCACCACCAGTATGACCATAAACCACGTAGTTTCGCAGAAAACTAAGAGACGGACCACTGACTGGGAGTCCCATCCTCTGCTGTCCCAGCTGACCGTGAGAACCACGGGGAGAAAGGTGCAGAGAACTGACTCGCGCTGTGCCAACCACAGTCTTGTCACCCTGACGAACAAGGAAGACACAGCTGTGGATTTAAAACGGTGCATTCCAAGGCGGGGCGCGGGGGCTCACACCTGTAATCCAAGCACTTTGGGAGGCTGAGGCAGGCAGATCACCTGAGGTCAGGAGTGCGAGACCAGCCTGGCCAACAAGGTGAAACTTCATCTCTACTAAAAATACAAAAAAATTGGCCAAGCGTGGTGGTTAATGGGTACGTGCAATCCCAACTACTCGGGAGGCTGAGGCAGGCGAATCGCTTGAACCCGGAGGGTGGAGACTGCAGTGAGCCAAGATCACACCAGTGCACTCCAGCCTGGGCGACAGAGCCAGACTCTGTCTCACAAAAGGAGAGAGAGAACAAAAACTGTGCATTCCTTTGGCTCTTCTCCAAAGCAGCAATTTCCTATTTACAGGTGAGTCATGCTACAGGACCACCTGAGGAGACCCTCAGGATGATCTTTACGATCAAACTTTCCAACTGCAAAACTGACCTGAACTGCTTCTGGAGGGTCTGCAGCCCTACTCCCAACGTGCCTCTGAGGGGTCACAGCAAAGCCCACGGGATGCACGTGCCCTTCTGTCCCCCTCATCCGGGAGGCGTCTCGCTCCTGGGGTGCCCTGAGCTCTGTAGGGTCAGAGATCCGCAGGGCCCGGCTGTGGCAAAGGGCATGCACACGGGGCTTCTCAAAGGACAGTGTGCTGTGCTTCTGAAAAACGAGCACGATCTTGCTACGCAAGGAGCTGTGTTTATGGTTCTCACTGCCAGCCTCACAGGCTTTTGTTTTGTGAAATGGGAAGACCACCCAGACTCTTCAGTAGTAATCCAGAGTGACAGCCGTCTTCTGACTACAAAGGGTCCTCACGAGGACCTGGGAACAACAGCCTGCACCACCAGCGAGCTGCCTGTACTGCACAGCCACGCCCTCCCCAGGCCCGCATCGTAGGGGCACATCATTTCAGAAAGACAATTCGTACTGGGGTATTCACCCAATGGTCACTCTGCGTGTCAAGGATTAGAAAGCAGCAAAGTTTGAGAGTTTGACGGCGATACACAGGAGCAAAACCGCCTTTTGCTAACAGAGCTACCTGTGCAGACACGACCACCGCCAACATCCACACGGGTGTGCAGAAAATAACCATCGGCACGGGGCAGGGTATGTTTCCACCATAAAGCAAAAGCTACCCACAGAGCCTCGAATGTGACCTTCAAGCCCCGCCCTCCCCCTTCCAAGCCCGTGTGTTGCCACTGTGAGAAAAGCCAGTCTTGCTGAGGGGCTCACACTGAGGGACCTTCACACCCTCTCCCCTCCCATGAGAGACCCCGCTCCCTGGCAGCACAACGCCAGGGAGGAAAAGGCCAGGTGTATTGCAGGGGGACTGGAGCACTCACCTGACCGTCCCACCCCTCCCGTAAGAGCCCCACCCCTCAGCAGCGCAACACCCACAGGTGCATGGGGCCCGGGGCACTCACCTGACCGTCCTGCCCCACGTGGTGGATCTGGAGGTTGCCCTGCAAAGAATCAGAGGAGGCGACAGTCGTAAGCAGAAATACACCAAGACACATTGCAGGTCACCTGGGACAACAAGGAAAACACCAGTTCTGCCAAAGTTCAACCTCCAGCAGCAGAAACGTCCCAAAACGAAATACTTAAATTTCTAGGTACTATTTTTTATTGCAAAGATGAACAAACAACTCCAAAAGCACTATACCCATTTCCCGACCCTGACCCCTAATGAAAATGGCACTTTTGCTTTATATTTTATTTTGAAAGAATTTTAGCCTCATAAAAAGTAGCACAGAGAGGTCCCATGTGCACGCCACCCAGCTTCCCCCAATGGGGACACCTTACTGAGCTGTGCGGCATCACTCCAGGCACGGGCACACACAGCCCACCAGCTCACTCAGCCACAGGGCTGCTAAGAGCTCTCCAGCCAGAAATCCATTTTCATTCGTCGTAAAAAGGAATTGTTCTAAGTCTGTTAGACCCTGCTAAATGTTTATTTTCAGATATCTTGTTTTTGCAAAATAATTTTAAATGAACAAGGTATGAATTTATTGCGATGAGACTGCACACTGTCACTTATCACAAAGCCATTATTAATATGATTAGCAATTCTAATTCCTGATGAAAACAAGAAAGGCAATTACCTACACAAGATGGCTTCAGTTTTGAAAACTGAGGGGACAAAACTAATAATAAAAAATCCAAGTAGCAGTAAAGATTTTTTAGTATGAACTATAAAAAGCACGTGTGTGTTGATTTTTTTCTTTTGCTGCTTATCAATTTTCCTTCATTTCCAATGACAATAAGGAAATTAAGCACTCCGATGAGCTGCATGGCTTCTAGAGTCTAGAGTTCAGCCTCCCAGCCCCAACGTGCCTGTGCCTTGAGAAGTAAACCTTCCCCTGCCCCCATCAGAGGCAGCTCAAGCACTGGAAGCTGCTGCTGAGATCCTGCCCCTGGCAGCAGCTCAGGGCTCTGCCCCACTCCTGCAGCTGACCTCCCTGAGCTAACAGGTGCATCTCCCCGCATCCCCACAGAGGTGGTCCCTGACCCACCCACAGACACAGAACCCGGCTCTGCTCCTTCCTGGACACTCTGGCATACCAGGACTGTCCCTCCACCTGCCCCCTGCCCTGGTGCTTCCTTCCATCCATCCATCTTTACATGTTTCTTAGTGGCCTGGTCACGCCGCTGTGTGGATGAGCCCACTCATTCCCAGCGGCTCACGGCCCCCACATGACTTCGTTCCTCCCCTTTCACCTCATCCTCACTGCGCCCTTGGAACCTTACGCATGTGCTCCCCTCTCGGAATAACCCACTGGGAACTGCTGGTGTCCAAATTAAAGCCACCGCCAGCAGACACGTCCCAGTCCCTCGTGCTCCTCATGCCACGACGTGCATGTGTCCAAAGCCTTGCTCACAGGTACCTGGGCAGGACCTCTGGGCCTGCTGTGAGTCCCTGGAGGCCAGGCCTCTCGCTCCTCTGCTCCTCCACAGAACCTGCACCCTGCATGAGCTCCCAGGAGTCCTCACACACCTGCCAATATCTCCAAGTTCCCCTCGACCTAGCCCCAGGCTTCCTAGTCGCTGCTGCAGGTGTGTGTGGGGAAGCCCGACATCTTCATAACGACATACTGTCGTGCACCAAATATAAAGTGGGTGCCGCTGTCAAGACCTAGAAACAGCCATGCTCCTCATCGCGCAGAGCGCAAAACAGTCACTCCGCACCACACGTGTACGCTGCTCCGTGGCCACAGATGAGGCCCAGCTCAGTGTCCTGCACCTGCTGCTGCCTGTGTGGTAGGAAGCAGCCCAGAGTCAAAGGATGGTCCTACCAGTGGACGCAGGAGACAGTCCTGCCCTGGCACACAAACGCAGAGCATGGGGACCAGGCAGCCTCGGCTTTCTGAAAGCTCAGACCATCAGTCCTGCCTGCACATTCCACACCCAACAGCAGCTGAGCCCGTGCTTCTGAGCGTGTGGCTGGGGAGGGCTCCCGCACTTGAGACAACGGAGACAAGCACAGGGCCGGCAGGTTTGTCCAGGGCTAGTACCAGCTCTCCTCTCAGGACTGGCAGCATCACCTCACGGGATTCCCCACCATCCCATGAAATCAGCACTAATTCCACTGTGGCCACGAGGACGCTGGGGCCACGTGGCATACGAGGGAAACGTATCAGGTCATCTGGTAAGGGCAGGCCACACCTCGGGCACGCTGGGGGCCTCCCCAGGCAGGAGGGGCAGGGCCACACTGGGAAAGAAGGGTACTCAGAGGACACTTCCAGCCAGGAGCAGAAACATCGACCTAGGAGGTCTTGGCCAAGCCAGACCAGAAGGTGCAGAGACCAACAGACAGGAGGAGGAGGCAGCGAGGCCACAGAGACTCAGGCCCGCCCTGTGCACCTGTGAAGCAGAGTCCCCCAGCCATGGCCCACGTCCCCCATCCTCGGGGCTCCCAGCTGCCAGCGCACTGTGACACAGACGAACGTCAGGAGCATGCGGGCAGGGTGCTTGCAGGGACAGTGCTATGGCGAAGGCTGACTCACCTCGCTGTCCTGCGTGATCTGGACCTGCTCCCCCTGTGGCACCTGGGCGATGTGGAGGTGTCCCTGTGGGATCCGCAGCAAGAAAAGACACCAAGAAGCATCAGAAGAAAATCAAAAGCAAAGGAAACAAGAAACGTCTTCCGGAATGTGTGTTCTGGATTATCTGCCATTCAAACAGGTAACTAACTCCTGAATACTGCAATATAGTCTATGCTTAGCGTAAGCTTAAAGTCACTGCTTTAAATTACACTTTTGGTTCACAGTAGTCCTCCTCATCCACGAGGCTTTCAAGAAGCACCCCCTTCTCCCCACCACGTGGATGCCATAAACCGTGGACAGTGCTGAACCATATCCCTGCCTATACATGCTGCACAGCTTGGACACACTGGACAAAGGGAGGACCCGCGTCCCAGGCGGATGGAGCAGGACACCCAGACTCCACGTTCTTCTGCCTGGAAGAGCAGACAATTTGAAACTTATCAATTGTTTATTTCTAGAACTTCTCATTTAATATTCTCAGATCCCGGATGACCGTGGGTAATTAAAACCTGAGAAAGTGAGCCCAGGGCTAAGAGGGATACTGTGTGATGCACACAGAGTGTTTTACAGTACTTCACAAAGGAGCAACAGGTCCGAGGAGAGGTGTTTACACTTCTGAATGTTACTAAACTAAGGAAACTTTAAAATGTGCATGACACATAGAAAAGAGGGGAAACAGAAAAATCAGAATGACCCCTCTTTTCAAACAATACGCTCAGCTCTCTGGAGATGCTCGGAGGCTACACAGGCCGAGTGTGGCCGGGAGCAGGGGAGTCGTTTGTGTGCCTACACTCGGAACAGGGCAGGCAACATTTTTTTTAATGAAAAAAACACTCACATGACTATTTAAACAGCTTGAGTCAACACTAACAAATGTGATTCCAAAAAACAAAACAATTAAAAGAATCCAATGTTTATACATAAGGCAGGCAATTGCTATAAACCTATAAATGAAATGAATACTCATTATCTTATCTGAAATTAACTCTTAGTCAAAATGGTTCTTAAAATAAACTCCTGTAGAATGTTCTATGTAAGCATTATGGCAAAGTTATGTATTCTGGAACTCTTTCAAAGAGCTCCTTACTAACATGATGAGAGTAACTGCCTTTGTGAATGTCAAATGAATTGAATAAGCCTGTGAATTTCACTATTCAAATTCACCATTCATGACTGTCTCATCTCCTGTGGAAGAGAAAGGGTAATGCCCCATCTAAACTCTCCAGCATTTTCTGGAAGCCTTCCCCCTTGCAGACAATGTGCTGAAGCCACGGGAGACGAGAGCCACATCCCGCTCTCAGTAGTAGAGGACCCTGTTGCCAGAAGAAAGCCCTGTTACATGGGGGCACACAATGAACACCAGAGGTCCTGAGGGGGCTGGAGCAACTGAAAACATCAGCGATGTCTAGTGACACAGGTAAAATTTCTAGTCACCCAGCAAAGCTTCTGGAAAAGTCTTCCTTCTCTGCCACCCCCCTACTCTTGTGCCACAAAATTCAGGTGTTTGTAGAGGGACTTCACCCGGCAGTCAGTCCCTAGTTCATCAGGCTGGCTGCAGCTTGGGCCACAAAACCCTAACAGAGAACTCCGCATAGACAAGGCAGGGCACTGACTTGCTGCTGGGGCACTCCCGCCCAGCCTGGTGTGCTGAGAAACCCTGAGGGAAAGGCTGCATGGGAGCAACGGCCTCAAGCTTTTGTCACTGATCCTAGAAGGAAATTACTGTCTTTCCCTCAGTAAGAAGAGGGCTGCGCTTCTCAACTGAGCGTTATTACGATGCTTCCCAGGAGCATGGCGGGGCCCTTGTAGCTGATCGCCAGGGCCACGGTGAGCTGAGCGAATGCCCGCACCCCACCATGTGCTTCAACCCCTGGGTACTGCGACAGCTGCCCTCATCTGTGAAATGCAAGAGCTCACAGCCGTGATGGCCTCTCCTTTAAATGGGGTCCCTATGCCTCCTCCCAAGCTATCACCATGCTCCTGAAACGCAGTGGAAGCCGCCCCAGCCCTGCCGTGGCCCGCCTCGCCACCCGCCCCGCCCGAGGTGCGTGGTGGAGAGGGTACGTACTACTTGCACCTGTCCGTCTTCTCCGATCTGGTGGATCTGCACCTGCTGCGCGTTGGCCAGGGCGTAGTGCAGCGCCTGCGGCTGCGGCTGTGGCTGCGGAAGCTCGCTGGCAGGCGGTGGGGTGCTCATCATCGGCTCTGCGGGGCGACAGGTGCGAACGAGGTGAACGAGAAGTTTCTTAGGCATTGCCTCATGCAGCGCACGTGCCCCCCGCACCGCCGTCCGTCCCTCACTCTCCACTCCCACAGCAGAGAAGAGAAAATGCTTCATTCCTCCTTCATTCGCACTGCCTCCACTCTTCTGCAGAGGTCACTAAGAAAGCGTCTTAGGAGCTGAGGCTTCCGACATGGAACGCAGATGGGCTGAGAGTGGAGTGACACTGCCATGACAAAACCCCTTCTAGTCCCAACTTATTTAAATGAATGAAGTTCTGCAAGTGGACATTAAAAGCTATTTCAGGCCGGCAGTATCTGTCCATGGGTAATTAAACTGACAGGGAAAAAACCTCACCCACGCACTTAAAGATGCATTTCCAACAAATTTATTTGCTGTATTTAATCAAAACAAGAGAATGTGCTTTGATGTACTGTATATTTTCATTGTAATGATACCTCAATCATAATTTTCTTAAACACTTAGAGTATTAAGAGCACAGAAAAACTTTTTAATTTTCCACGTATACACAATTTTCTTGCAGAGAATTATGATGACTAATAAAAAGACTTTATGCATGAACACGTAATAAAAGGGGCTGGGCACAGTGGCTCCCACCTGTAATCCCAGCATTTTGAGGGGCCAAGACGGACAGATCACCAGAGGTCAGGATTTCGAGACCAGCCTGGTCAACATGGTGAAATCCCATCTCAACTAAAAGTACAAAAATTAGACGGGTGCGGGTAGCATGAGCCTGTAATCCTAGCTACTCAGGAGGCTGAGGCAAGACAATCACTTGAACCCAGGAGGCAGAGGCTGCAGTGGGCTGAGATGGCACCACTGCATTCCAGCCTCAGCAACAGAGCAAGATTCCGTCTCAAACAAAAAAAGTAGTAAGGTGAAATTCTGTGACAGAAGCTGAATGCTGATATGAATGAATGGAGAAAAATGAAAAACATAAAATTTCTGATTATTAAAGAAAAGTGGGCCAGGTGTGGTGGCTCACCTGTAATCCCAGCACTTTGAAGGCTGAGGTCGGTGAATCACTTGAGGTCAGGCATTTGAGATCAGTCTGCCCAACATGGTGAAACCCCGTCTCTACTAAAAAATACAAAAATTACACAGACGTGCTGGCACACGTCTGTAGTCCCAGCTACTTGGGAGGCTGAGGCAGGAGAATCGCTTGAGCCCAGGAGTAGGAGGTTACAGTGAGCTGAGATCACAGCACTGCACTCAGCTCCAGGCAACAGAGTGAGACTGTCTCAAAAAAAAAAAAAAAGAAAAAAAAGAAAAGGTTTCCATGAGTTTTTCACCAATAGCTAACCGTAGGTATTAGATTGCCATAGTACACAGATTGCACTGAATACAATTTTTAAAGTAACATAATAAAATGTTGTTTTTTTCTCTGGAGACAGTTTCGCTCTGTCGCCCAGGCTGGAGGGCAAGTGGTGTGGTCTCGGCTCACTGCAGTCTCCGCCTCCCAGTTCAAGCGATTTTCCTGCCTCAGCCTCCCAAGCAGCTGGGGCTACAGACACCCACCACCATACCCGGCTAATTTATTTTGTATTTTTCGTAAAGACAGGGTTTCACCACGTTGGCCAGGCTGGTTTCAAACTCATGACCTCAAATGATCTGCCTGCCTCAGCCTCCCAAAGCGCTGGGATTACAGATGAGCCACCACGCCAGGTCACATAATAAAATATTAATACTTGCGACATGCTAGAAATCGCCCAGCTACAGTAAATCAGAATCCTTCTTTCATGTGAGTCAAAGGTGGTCCACCTGCATGTTGAACGTGGGGAGCTCAGCTCCAGCTGAAGACCCTGACTCCACCTGAGCACCCCCAGGGATGGGCCATGTCCCAAAGCACCTTCCCCCAGGCAGCGCTGCGAGCACCACAGCGCTTTGCTGTCCCCCTGAGCAGCTATGGAGCACTCAGCAGCACAAGAGCTCGAGCAAGCCTTGTGGACCCCAGGCAGAAGATGACAAAATCCCACCTCCCCGAACCTGCTGTTCCTTCACTGACCCTCTTAGGACCTGCCAACCCAGCCTAATTCTTCACTGATGCAATCACTTCTCCAGGCTTCTAACAAAGCACTAACAAACCTTGTGAAGTCTCCATTTCTAACCATTTCCCCAAAGACAATGGCTTCCAGCCCTCTGCCACCATGACAGTCTGGCCCCACACAGCTCCTCCCAGCAGCTCCAAAATGCTCCACTGGGGCCACAGGGCATAAAAGCTAAGAATGGGCATGCCCCGGAGTGCACCTTCCAACCACACAGGCTCCGAGGAAGCTCCTGCACACCACGCAGCCAGCACACCATGCAGCCTCACAGGCTGTGACACCAGCGTCTACTCCTGTGCAAATGCTTTGAGGCTCCATTTGCAGCAGTGAAATTTCAGCTCGTTAAGTTTACCCTCTTCGAGATCTTTTAGCATCCTAATAACGCAGGCCAACCTATCTAGTAGTTGTCAGGTTATACAACAGCAACTTCTTGCTCACTGAGGTCCTGGGAAGTCCTTTAATCTGGGCTTTGGTTCCCCACTGGATGGAACAGGCCGCTAACCTTACCACACGCACGTACCCGAAACAAATGGAGGGCAGGCCTGGCAGCCACTGTCCTCGCCTTTTGAGTCTAGGAGTTCCAGGCAGCGCTGTTTTATGTGTTCCTTTACTCTCCTTGCTGTGTTCCTTTTCTCTTCCTTGCTATGTTCCTTTTTCTTGCAAATCCCTGTATGTAATTTTAATGGACTTCGATGCCCTGTCAGTTAATTCCAGGCAGGGTCTCCTTCTACTGACTGGTTTTCTGATCCTAGGTCACATTTCCTGCTTCTTGGTACTTGTGACTGGATACTGGACACTCTGAATTTTATTTTGCTGGGTGTCTAGGTTTTGCTGTCTTTCTTGGAAAGTGTTGTTACTTGTGGTTCAGTGTGCTCTTTCTCAGGTTGTTTTAAGCCCTGCCTTTACTCTAGAGACAACTGAGCCCCGCCCATAGGCAGGGCCTGCTACTGCAGTGACTGATCACTGCAGATTCTCCACTCTAGCTGCTGGGAATCCAGCTGCCACCCAGCCTAGTGTGAGCTTAGGGACCCTTCAGCTCATGCCTGCCTTGGAAGCCCCCAAACACCCAAGGAGGCCCCTGGACAGACACTGGGGCTCTTTTCTGTGTAACTCTGCTCTGAAGAACTTGATTCCACAGCTTGCAGCTTCCTCCGCCATGCTCCACATCAATCCATCTCCTGAAGGCAGTGACTGCGCCTGCTCTGCCTAGCACTCCCTGCTGCTCCGGTGACTGCGCCTGCTCTGCCTGGCACTCCCTGCTGCTCCGGTGACTGCGCCTGCTCTGCCTGGCACCCCCTGCTGCTCCGGTGACTGCGCCTGCTCTGCCTGGCACCCCCTGCTGCTCCGGTGACTGCGCCTGCTCTGCCTGGCACCCCCTGCTGCTCCGGTGACTGCGCCTGCTCTGCCTGGCACCCCCTGCTGCTCCGGTGACTGCGCCTCCTCTGCCTGGCACCCCCTGCTGCTCCGGTGACTGTGCCATGCTCTGCCTGGCACCCCCTGCTGCTCCGGTGACTGAGCCTGCTCTGCCTGGCACCCCCCGCTGCTCCGGTGACTGCGCCTGCTCTGCCTGGCACCCCCCGCTGCTCCGGTGGCTGCGCCTGCTCTGCCTGGCACCCCCTGCTGCTCCGGTGACTGAGCCTGCTCTGCCTGGCACCCCCCGCTGCTCCGGTGACTGAGCCTGCTCTGCCTGGCAACCCCTGCTGCTCCAGTGACTGAGCCGTGCTCTGCCTGGCACCCGCTGCTGCTCCGGTGACTGCGCCTGCTCTGCCTGGCACCCCCTGCTGCTCCGGTGGCACGTCTCCTCTCATGTCCCTTCTCTCAGAGATCACAGTCCTGCACTGCTGCCTAGCTAACGTCTTAGGACAGCTGATTCATAGATTTTTGCCCAGATTTTGATGGCAAGAGAATTCAATCTGGTCCCTCCTACTATGCCTGACCAAAGGCAGAAATCTCCTCTCCCTTTTGTTGGCAGGGTGGGGGGGTCACCCAGGCTGTAGTGCATGGCACAATCTGAGCTCACTGCAACCTCCACCTCCTGGATTCAAGAGATTCTCCTGCCTCAGCCTCCTGAATAGCTGGGATTACAGGTGTGCACCACCATGCCCGGCTAATTTTTCTATTTTTAGTAAAGACAGGGTTTCACCATGTTGTCCAGGCTGGACTCGAACCACTAACCTATGGTGATCTGCCTGCCTCGGCCTCCCAAAGTGCTGGGATTACAGGCGTGAACCACCATGCCTGTCCTCTCTGGCTTTTAAACTGCATTTTTAAAAACTGTAAAATGAATGCAGTGCTTATTGGAAATAAATGAAAAACTATAATGAAAGAGAAAAACAAAAATTATCCTACTACCTAGAGACAGACACTGCAAGAATCATCACACATAGATTTTTAATCAACTTCCACATATAGCTGTATCTTTGCAATAAAAAATGGTATCAGACCGTAAGTCTAGTTCTCACATTCACTCTCTGCCGCCTGGCTTTGAATACTCAAGGGCACAATTCAACTCATGAGCAATATTCCCACAGCCCCATTTCCATGGCCACAGGTTACTGCGCTACACAGTATTTCAGCTAATGCCTTCACCCACATCCCAGGACTGCTGCCTCTCTAAAGACCACGGCAGAATTCCTAATTGTAGTAGAAAGGCCTAGAATAGAAGAGCTTCTTCAAAACACGTCTCTCAATAAAGCGCTGCTTTGGGACACAACTGGTGTGGCCCACCACAGCCAGCCACCTCCCGTCCTCAAGCCCCTGGGCAGCAGCTGAGGCCGAGTATCTGATAACTACCAAAAACAGCCCAGGAAACCACTTCCTGAAGCCAGCTTCAGAAAGAACGAGTCCCCAGGAGAATGCCAGGTGATCTGGTCTGTAACTCGCAGCACTTCCAGAACAACGAGTTCTGGCCAACAAAGACTCCACTGAATCGAAGAGTTGGCCCTGTCTACGCTGCCCTCGCATCCTGACCCAGCCCCAGTCAGAGCTCAAGTTCCAAGAGCCGCTGCCAATGCAGCCACTGTGGGGACTTTTCAAAGAATAGTTTGCATTCAAATACTTACTACACTATTTTGAGATGTGCCAGGTAAAAGGTAGTATCAAGTCACATTGTCATCCCTAGTGAAAATTCTCCCAGTGATGCCTGAGAGGTAACTGCAAGAGAACTGTTCCCACTATCTTGTGCTTAAATCCAACTAAGGCAATGAACTCAAAGTAAAAATAAAGCACAATTCAGAATCCACCCATTCCTTCATCTGGAGTCACCAGGCAAATCATAAGAATACAACGGCCAGCATCCACACACACAGGCCTCGCCCTCCTCGCCCTGTCCACAACACTTCCAGGAGGCCCAACGGGCCGTGTCCCTCCCAGAGGAGCCTGGGGTGGCCCGAGGCTGTCTGCGGAAGGGCGCACAGGGGCAGGCCTGAGGGCCTGCGGCTCCACTGCCCCAGGTGCACCAGACCAGCCTCCCGCCTCGGTTCCTGGCAATTGCTGGAGCTGCCGGCCACACTCTGGACTGACCTGAGAGTGCCATCAGGCCAGCTTCCCCAAGCAGGGGAGGGCAGCCTGTCCCGCAGCACGAGGCCTACCTGAGGGGCAGTAGGAGGATGAGTTCGGCGTTCTCCGCGAGAAGCTCTTGACCGCTAGGCTCTGGCCCCGCTGCTTGCGCCGCCACGCCGTGCGACACTTGGAGTCAATGCTCTGCTTGATTCGGTACCAGTCGGATTCCGTGATGCCAAATTTATAGAAAAGGTGACCTGAAAGGACACATCCAGGAACAAGCGGTGAGGCCTGCTGGGGACGGCCACCAGGAGATGCCTGGCTGCAGAGCCTGGGCCCGCTGCAGAGGCCTCCCCCAGGCACCCCTGCCCGCCAGGCCAGCCCCATCTTCCTGCAAAGGATCCAGAAAGGCCCACTGCACAGAAGGTACTTAGTGGCCCACAGGCAGGGCTCCCGATCATGACACACTCTTTCCTGCTACTGAACTCCCCATTCCTGTGACCAGGGCCACCCACACCAGGTGCACACTGAGGCTCTCACAGGATTCCCAGGTCTCCATGCTCCAGCTTCCCTCTGCCCTGAACTCACAGCACCTAGCATTACCGAGTGCCCGGAGGAGGAGCTCAGGGACCTCAACGACTGCAGCAGAACTCATCACTCCTCTGCTCACTCAGGCCTGCTCGGCCACCGCCCTCCCTTCCTTCAAGTCTTGGCTCCACCACCCCGCTCGACAACCACCCACCCATCCTGGGCCTCCTGGGCTCCCACCCTCCTCCTCCCACTTCCTTTGTCAGACCACTGACCACCTTCCGGTGTGTGGAGAATTCACCTACGCAGTGTTCACGCTGTTTCCCTCACACACACAGGGGCCTTCCTCCGCCCATGCAGGTCAGGCACGCAGAACAGCCTCACGCAGTGGGCAGGTGAGGCACCCAGAACGTCCTGGCACAGCGGCTGCACCCATGGGTGTTGTAAACAGTGATTACCACGGCCTGTAAGTCACCCTCCCATCGCTGCTCAAGTCCGAGGCTTGCTTAAGCCATCCTCTACGCCTTTCTACTGTGCCTTCTCAGCTACAGCACACGCCCCTCGCGGGCCGGCCTACGTCCTCATCCCCAGAGTCCCTGCGCCACAAGCCAGGTGGGCACAGCTACTCTCACCGTGGGGCCGAGGCTCGCCCGGGGCTCACCGTGCACACGGCTGAGAATGCCCTGGGACCCCCAGTTCTCCACCACTTGTGCTGCAGAGAGCTCTCAGCATGCCCTGAGAAGCGTCCAGAGATGCCCGGTATTCAACAAGAAGAAAACTGAGGTTCTGGAGGCCGCGGTAGAACAGGAGACAGGACGAACCCAGGCCCTGTGGCATGCCCAGCCACCTCCCACAGCCACAGGACCCCCTCCTTGCAGTGAGGACGAGTGCAGGCATCACGGGAAGGGCTCTCCAACACAGTGGTCTCCCAAGCTGGCTCTGCAACCTCATGAATTTACAGGAAAATACAAATTGTAGGAATAAAAAGGATAAGCTGGAAAGTGTCCTGTTTCAACTACCAAGAGCCTCGAGTTTGGACCCTACAGCCCAAACCCCAAAAATCTGTTCCCATTGAGACTAAAACATTGGAAATAATCAACACAGAGGAAGAAGTGCTTGTTAAGTACTATAGTAGGTATCGAAAGTCCCTCGGGTTTTGGAAACAAGCTTCCTAACTTTGTAGATACCTGACACGTGTTTGACTGTCTGTATAATGACAACCAGCTCGTCTGTGCTCCCTACAAAAAGCAGCTGGCCGGGAGGGTGGGGTTTGCAGGATCAGAGGAAGAACAGCCTCCAGTGTTTCAGCAGCACTTTTGCACCCTCAAGCATAAAAGCATATAGCAGCAGCTCTTCGGTTTCCGATGCTCAGGTCACCTCCAAAGTGCTGGCGGGGTGACTGGCATGCCTCAGGAAACCCCAGGCTGAGCAACTTTAGTGACTGGCAAAGGAACCCAGCTGCTGGCTGTGGTCACAGGAGTACCCAACCATTAAAATCACAACAAAATCCTTACAGGAGAGCCGGCTATGGCCAGGGTTGCACCACAGTTACCATGAAACCCAACTTTCACAAATCCCCTTAGATGTCTTCAGGAGAGCTCAGTTACTGACTTCAGATGCAACGCAGGCCAGCTGCCGCCGCAGGAGACAGAAGCAGCAGCCAGCCCACCAGCAGGAAACACCCTCAGAGCACGAGTCAATCAAAAGACGCGTCCTCAGAACTGCCTCCTGCTACCCTCATGCCATCCCCTCCAGGAGAATCGAGTCCATGCACAATCTAAAAACAGGTTAGTCACAGGAAAGAAGATATATCTAAAACACACAGGTATACAGGTTAAGAGAAATGAGTAAACACATTAACATGTAAATTCAACTGTGTAAAAATCAAGTTGCCAGTTCAAACCGTGGCTCATACCCTTTAAAGAAAATATAGACATTCATCTAGTTCTCTCCTCCTGAGTTTACATTGTCCTGAGGCGTTAACTCATTCCTTCCATCCACACGTCAGGCCCCAGCCAGGGCAAATGCCCCCTGCCAGCCCCTAAGGAGACCCAGAGAACAAACCACCACCTGAGTGCCACCCACAGAGCACGGTGGGTGAGGAGGGGGAGGATCTGGTGCAGGCGCCGCCGGCAGACTCTACCGGACGGCAGCGGGGGCAAGTGCCCGCTTCTGGGCAGCCCTCGGGACTCTGAGGGTCTGCGAGCTGCTCCGATTCCTGAGGGTGCTGCTTTCTCTACCTTTTCTGACAGCACTCAGCAGCCGCACGTAACAGAGGGGGCAGGAAAAATCCTATCGTGATGGGATCAAAAGATCACCTTGCATTTAACTGCCATTTTCCACTTGCAGCATTTTATCTCATGTTATTTGATGGAATTTAACAGCCATTTTCCACTTAAAGCATTTTATCTCATGTTATTTGATGGACATTAAAAAAAAAAAAAAAAGCCTCATGAAGTAAGAATTTCATTACTCTCACCTTGGTTTTGAGGCAAAAGCCAAAAGGACAAGTGTGATGTGTCCAAGTCCAATCACCAGTTAAGAGTGAGTACCACCTTCAAGAGCACGCTTCCCACCACTGTGACGCTGGGGCCCACCCAGGTGGAGAAGCAGCAGCCCCTCAGCAGATCCTGAGAATCCACAAGAGGCGCTGGGGAGATGGGAAGAATATGCAGACCCCACACATGTGCCTCTGCTGTCCTAAGCCCCCTCAGCCCAAGGCGCCCACGGACCCTGCTGGTGGGAGGCCTGGTCAAACGTCGCTATAGGCAGAGTCTCCCCCGCTGCAGTGCCCGGGACAGGAGGAGAACAGAAGTGCTTGGCATCCGGCTGCTGAGGCTCATGGGATCCCCGCGGCGCAGCGTCACCCGGCAGCAGACCACCCTGCCCAGCCTCAGTCCCTGCCTTCCCCAGGTATATCCCCACATCACGCCCATCAAGGCCCCCCAAAGGCCGGGACAGGCTTGCCCTCCAGGCTCAGCCAGGCAGCGTCCCTGCCACCATGTGTACCTCTCCCTTTCTCGAGAGCTGTCCTGCGGTCCCCAAAGAGCCGAAGGGTCCCCATCACTGTTAACTGCCTTCCCACCCTCCAGAACCCCCGTCCCTGACTCTGGTGGTTCAAATCCTAAGCCAACTCCCAACTCTCGTTCTGTGTGGCCATGAGAGGCACCGTGGGAAACGAGACGAGAGAACCAGAAGGGCTTGTAATCTTGCGCCTTGGTGGGTGGCATGCGCTTATCAGTCACAAAGGAATGAAAAGCACACCTGCTGATGCCATTTCAAGTGCCAGGGAAAGTGCAGCGCACAACGGAGTGCCAACAATTCACTTCCTGAAATTACAGACTCGATGTGATAGCGCGGCCTCAAAAACAAAAGGCGTCTCAAAGCCTCTGCCTGGTGGAAGCTGGGCGACACGCTCCCTTCTGGGGGCAGCACACAGCCCATGCCCCTCACATGTCCAGCTGAAGCCTCTGCCCTGTGGAAGCCGGCCGACACGCTCCCTCCCGGGGGCAGCACACAGCCCATGCCCCTCACACGTCCAGCCTCCAGGCCAAGCAGGCCCCCTTCTCCAAGCCTGCTGCCTCACTCCTTTATGAGAAAAGACTATGGGGTCACACCTGTCCTCAGTCTGGTAGCAAGACAGCCCGTCACAGCCACTTGCAGGGCCACCTCCAGGTCACAGCATCTGGGTACCTGCTGAGGAGGCTCCACCCACTTTTCTGCCTGGAGCCCACACTGACCAGACCTTCCTCCCAGCTCTAGGTCACTGTGGGGGGCTTAATGTCCCACGGCAGACAGACAAACACCCACCCCTGTGTGGAGTCGGAATTCTGCCCTTAAAGATGCACATAGGGCAGCGTCACCATTTCATCCCACAGAGAACCTGGGGAAGAAACAGCACTTGACCACCCAAGTTCAAAAGAACCCGTGTCCTGTGTCCTGGGCTGAACAGTGTCCCCACAAAACTCATGTCCTGCCCAGGACCCCAGATTGTGACCTGACTTGGAACTGGGGTCTCTGCAGATGTGATTCTAAGTTGTGATGATGTCATCCCGGAGAAGAAGGGCTCCAAATCCAGTGACTGTCCTCATAAGCAGAGGAGAAGGAGACATGAGGAGACACAGGGAGAAGCCAGCCATGGGGGATGCGGGCAGAGGCTGGAGGGACGCGGCCAGTGCAGAAGCTGAGAGAGAGAAAGACCCTGCAAAGCAAGCACGGCCCTGCTCACACCTCGATCTCAGGCATCGGCCTCCAGACCTGTGTGAGGACACGAGTCTGTTCTAAGCCAGCCAGTCTGGGAGCTTTGTTACACTGGCCACAGGAACCTGTGAGGCACCCTGCAAGACACAACAGAGACAGGACGCACACCTGCCCTGCAGGCGAAGCGGCCCCTGGCACCGCTGCTTCCCGCTAGGAAATACCACCTGCTCTTGGAGTGAATGATTTAAGAAGATCTACGATCATCTGCCAGGTGAAGTTTGCATCCATAACGTTTTACTCTGTGCAAATGAATCCAACCTCTTACTGCTAGGAGGCTTCGTGGGGACCTGCCACCCACAGCAGCGTTGTTTGCAGCAGACGGGACCGGGCGTGCTCAGGGTAGCAGGGCCATAGACAGGCGTCTTTAGAAAAGTCCTCAGATCGGGGTCAGCGGCTTGGATGCACAGTCCAGGCAGAGGCCTGTGTGAGCCACGGGGAGAAATCCTAAGAACTAACCCACTTTCTCTTCAAAGAGAAAAGAGGCAGGCGAGTGCTGCTGTCCTTCCAGTTCACCCCTCAGGAAAATGTTCCAAGGTTTTCAAAGTTCTGATAATAAGCTACCTTTGCATAAGACACAAATGTTAGCTGCCCAAATCCAGGGATCCAGCAATCCTTGGGAACTCTAAGAAAGCCAACATCCCAAAAAGCAAATTTCTCTTTCTCCCTCTTTCCAAAAGCCCATTTCCTCATTTCAGGAAGGTGGTACTCAGAGACGTTACCTACTGCGTGTTTCAAAATAAAGACTCTTTTCTTCAGAAAATGAAACAAAATCTTTCTGCTGACGAGTAAGAAGGAGAAACTTAAATCAAAATCTGCCCCCTCCTGAGCTCCCTGCGGTGGGTGAGGACGGCAGGCGCTGACTGCCGAGGCTACAGGTGTCACTGCGGGTTTGGAAGCAACGGCAGAGTGCGGTGGGGCGAGGCAGCCAATTCCACTCCTGCCGCGCTTCAAGCTGAGGCTGGGGAGGTTTGCTCCATGCATTTATTTGACTTGTTTTGTTTTTTGAGCAACAATCACAAAGAATGAAACTGAGCCACAGGGAGAAAAGGTAAAGCAACGCTTTGAACATTTCAACAATTCCACCTAAGCGCGAGCGACACAGGTCCACCTGGCCTGAGGGTGGGAGAAGGAAGGGCTCCTGTTCCCACCTCCACCCAGATTTCACTCCAGAGGAAGTGACACCAGGCAGGCGTCACCTGTGGCCCTCAAGGGCAGGTGTGAGGGCAGGCCGTGCTCTCTCAGCCCATAGAGCAGGGCTCCTCTCCATGTGGACACCAGAGGAGTTGGGAACAGGGAGGCACAGCAAGGGCCTGTGGTCACACCGGCCACGATTATAGGCGCTAACTCCATCCCGTAAGCTCTAGCTCCTGTCCCACAAGACACTGCCTTGAGGCCGGGTGCAGTGGCTCACACCTGTAATCCCAACGCTTTGAAAGGCCAAGGCGGCCAGATCACCTGAGGTCAGGAGTCTAGACCAGCCTGGAAAACAGGGTGAAACCCAGTCTCTACTAAAAATAGAAAAATTAGCCCATGGTGGCGGGCGCCTGTAATTCCAGCTATTGAGGAAACTGAGCCAGGAGAACTGCTTAAACCCAAGAGGCAGAGGTTGCAGTGAGCCAAGATCACACCACTGCACTCCAGCCTGGGCAACAAAGTGAGACTCCATCCCAAAATTAAAAAAAAAGACACTGCCTTGCCAGTGAGCTGCCAAGGGGGCCGGTGAGTGCCAAGGAGGAGGCTGGGTGCTCACAGCTCTGAGCATGCCCCAAGCCATGAGGTCCAGCAGCCTGGTGAGCTAGCCAGTGACCTCAGCTGTCTGGGGGACAGCCCGGAAGCTGGCGGGCGCAGGAGAGCCCATGCCAGTCTCCCACTCCCATTCAGGCCTCCAGACCCCCGTCGAGGTTGGCAGCCCTTCCCAAGCCAGCTCAGCAGGGAAGGTCAGCTCACGGCCACAACACGCAGGGAGTCGGGGCCGGCCCCATTCTGCCCTATGCAGTGTCTTCCGCCGCCCCACACAGACTCCCTGAGTACAGACACGGCCACCCCACCACCACAGGCTCTGCTCAAGAGTATCACCCTCTCATGCTCGTCACCTCGCTGGAACATTCTCTGTGCCTGATTTAAAAAACAACAAATGGCAGATGATGCCTCAGCCTGACTTTCCAAATCAGACCCAGCCGCCCTCCAGCTTCATAGCCGATGTCCCTGTCATCTCCCTGGAGGAGCAGGGTCTCCTCCCCTGGGAACAGGACCCACCGAACAATGCTACCACCCCACTCAGCATGGCCTGCTCATCCCACCTCACCTGGGAACAGGGTCCACCCCACAACATCACCGCCCCATACAGCACAGCCTGCTCATCCCACCTCACCTGTGAACAGGGCCCACCCCACAACGTCACCGCCCCACATGCATGGCACGCTCATCCCACATGCCACCATCCTTTCCCCTCCAACCGTAGTCCAGCTTGACACTCCTGCAACACCTCACAACGCCACCTCTCAGGTTGCAGATGCTTCTGTCTGCCGTTTCTCATGCTTACTTATACATCTCAGTGCACTCCACACCACGGTCTGCACACCCAGCACTAGCACACAGCAATCCCTGGGTTTCAAGCTACAAGCACGTCACGTGGCCAGGTACACAGATGTATGCTCTCGGCCACACCATGCCCTAAAGCTGAGGAGGGGGCGGTGGGCCTGCCACCCGCCTCTGAAGGCAGTGTCCTGTCACAGCACAGCCATGGCCGTGCTCTTCATCTGTGGCTGCTTTCAGAGCTGAGGGGTTGAGGAGAGACCCCAGGGCCCACAAAGCCTGAATCATCTGCCATGTGGCCCTTCAGAAGAAGGCTGTGAGTGACACCTGCCCCGTGACCCTCTGATCCTCTGTGACCTGCTTTACTCCGCCCCTGAGAAGCTGTGAGGGGGCACCGCATGTGATCTCCCAGGCAGCCATCTGAGACTACCTTCAGGGTCCAGGACGGGCGCCCGCCAGTGTCTAACAGCCAGGGCACATGCCTGGGCCAAGACATGGCAATGAGAAGATGCCACGACCTGCTCACACATGTGTGGGCGGGACCTGGGCGCCACCTCTCAGCAGCTTCCAGAAAAACCTGAAGTCAGCACAACCCCTCAGTCTCACTCAGACCCCATTTCCACAGCAACTACTCAACAGCCGAGCCCTTCCACGCCTTACTGCTCCTGACAGAGGCTCAAGGGCCACACCGCGCTTCCCAGAGGCGCAAGGCTCTCTCCTCCGGTCCTGCATGGTGAGACCTGGATGCGGGGTGCGTCACCCAGCTCGCCTTACTGGGAGATCAGATTCAGATTTCACGCTCGCCTGCTGCAAGTCTCTAGAACCCAGATTTCTGGAAGACGCCCCCTCCCACGAGGTGCCCCGTGTCGCCTGCATTCTCTACTGCTTCACTTTAGAAGCCAGGCAGGCGGCTTCTGGAGCAGATGGGCTCTGTGGAGCAAATGGACCATGGATGAGGAGGGCCTGAGCATCTGTCAAACGCCATCAAAGGACAACACTGCCATCGCCACTGGAGCAAGTACCGCTCTTCAGAGGGGAGGGAAACATCACAGGCTGGGCTGGGCATGAGAATCGAGCTTTGGAGCTCTCCTGGCTCCATCACAGCCAGGTCAGCGCCAAGGCCCTGGCACGGCTGCTGAGCCCCAGCCCTCTCTGAAGGAAGGAGGCAGGCGCACTCCACCCGCTCCGGAGAGGCTCAGTGCCTGTGTCAACACAGCCAGCAGGACTGCAGGGAAGGCCCCGGCTCTCCTGCCACTGCCTTAAGAGTGGCCTGAGAACAGGAGGAGAGGAGGTTTTCACCCTAATTTAAGGGTACACTGTAGGTGTAAAACATTATGGGGTACATGAGATGCCTTGGCACAGGCACGCCATGTGTAATAAGCACATGAGAGTCAACTGGGCACCCAGCCCCTCAAGCAGCGATCCCCAGGCCGGCCCTACTGACGCCAGCGTCCCCAGCACTGAAACGCGGGTCGTGACCCAGCTCCCGAGGCAGGGCCCGACTTACACCGGATGCCGTAGATGGTGAGCGGGTCCAGCTGCTTCTTCCCATGCTTGCCCTGCCCCGAGAGGTTGGACACGGCCTGCACCTCACGGTGGAAGAGGTAGTCCAGCAGCGTGAGCGCCATCTTCTCCGCCGTGCGGCAGTTGGTGCTGATGTGCAGCATATCGGAGGGGATGATGGCGCAGCGCACCCGCATCTCAGGGTTGTTCTCGTCGCCCAGCCAGGTGCCATTGGGGTAATCCTCTGGAAGAGAGAAGACAGGGTCCTCAGATGGCCACACTCAGGGCAGCAGAGCACTGCGCTCAGACATGCCCAGCGAGCTGGGCAGACCCCTCCCAACTTGCGACACAGTCACCAAGAGCACTGGAGCCTCCGACTACTGCCAGAGAAAGCACTGACGAAGAACGGAAACGACCCCACCACCCCAGAGGGGCCGCAATGTCCTTACAGCCACTTGATGTGGACGACTGGCAGGAAGGCGGCATCCTGGCCATCCTGCACTCAAGGCCAGCCCTCGGAGCTCAGCCCGCCCGGCTAACTCAGCAAGGCCAGCGGCTCGCAGCGCACCTAGTGCCCCGGCATCTGCAGTGCCCGGGACAGCCCTGCCTGCGGCTGGCACAGCACTGGCCAGCGTGTGCCCAGCAGCAGGAGCTTCCGCAGCCCCCAGGGGATGCTGCCCGACTCGAGCGGGAGCACAGGCCAAGCTATCCTCAGCTGGAAGAGGTGACATCAAACAAGCTCTAGTCTCAAACACCAGGTTCTCTTCACAGCCCAGCAGGGTGAAAAGCTTTCAAAAAATAAAAATGTAAACGTCTGACCACATCTGGAAGGAGACCACTTGCCACACCTGTCTCTGGAAGAATGGGCCACCACCTGTTCCTATGTTTAGAGGAATCTGCACTGGGAAGAGGCTGTGGGGCCTCCACACGGCGCCCTCTGCACTGCTGAGGGTCGGCCCGGCCTGGTACAAGAAAATGGCTCCGTGCAGGACATGCTGAGCTCCGATGGGTCTGCCCACCTCCCCATGGCGTCCCAGCCAGCACCGCTGCCCTTTCATGCTCTGTGAGCCTCACGCCTCCCCCAGGCAGCTCAACAGTGGGCCTGGGGTCTGCACATAGCACTTGCCCTGACCTGCTCAGAGCACTGGAATCCCTTCCCCTCCTCGTAGCCCAAGTTCCTTCCTTGCCACCGACATCCCTTAATCATGTGGAACTCAACCCTTGTGATCTTGTAACCTCAAAGGTCACTAAGAACAAAACGAGAAAACCAAGGCTGCGTCTGGGCACAGGCCAGGGGGACGTGGGAGCAGCAGGGCCAGGTGCCTGTGGGGCCTTGGGATCTGAGCACCAACAGGGTCACACACTGTGCTCATCCTGGACCTGGGACCCTGGAATTATCAATATCCTTGCACATAGTTGGTACCTGCCCCAGCCACCTGCTAAGTGGAACCTTCCCCAGGGCTCCTCACACCTCACTGCCAGGGATGCTCTCCCACCGGCCAGCCACTCCCACCAAGAAGGACGAGGAGGCTGTGGCTCCAGCATCAGCAGCTGGCTTGCCGCTGCCCTGTGGACACAATGCCAGCCCTTGCCTCTGCACAGCGTTAAGTCACAGCATGCCCTGAACACCGGCATTCTCAGGACAGTTAAAATGCAGCCGCCCACAGCAGCGTACTCAGGTGTGGGAATGCGCCACGTTCTCCACCGTCAGCAAAGCCACAGGAAGGAACCGTGGACAGGCCCACACTCTGCATGGGGGAGAGAGGTAGCCAGGCACCTGGAGAAGCCGGAGCTTGCCAGCAAAGCACACTCCCGTGGCGATGGAGTGGGACTTCCCATCTGCCTGCCTGCCCAGGGAGTGACGCCCGCCAGCACCCCCACACCTCTCCACCTCTCTCCCAAGCAAGCGCAAGCCCTCAGCCAGCTATCAGCTTCTTAGCTGACCCTTCACAAGTCACTGGTCTCTGAACCACAGACTCCTTCTCTGCATAGTGGCCTCTCCGGGCTGTCCTCACGCTGACCAAGCACAGTAGGTAAAAGGCTTGGTGGCTTGTCAAACCCCCTTTTCAAAGCCTTCCCATGTGACAGAGGAAAGCTGCATACATGATCATAAACCAGACAACTGGTACGCTAGCTTGGAAGCTCAGCAGCTCCCAAACAATCTCTTCTGACTCTGAAGTTGAACCAAAGTAAAGCTGTGAATCTCCCCTCCCCCAGCACATCCTCCTCCACGGAAGGGTGGACATCTAAATACCTCCCTCAAGGGGCCAGGACCCAGGAGGGCCTCCACACTCTGTTGGAGTCTCCACGGCCTAGGGCCGGGTTACAGTCATGCCACCCTGGGCATCGCCGCCACAAAATGTCTGTAAGCTTTACTTTGAAACGTCCCAACACTGACTTTCCAGCTCCTAAAAGGGTGGCCAGCCGGGCCAGCCGGGCCAGGAAGCCTGGAGCACAGCTGAGAAGCCACGGCCACCGTCTGGTCCTAGTGTGCATGGCTCCCTGCACAAGCAGCCTCATTTGCCAAAACATGTTATTCCCTAAGACAGAAGATTTCCATGATGTTTGAGGGCAGGGTTGGTCACCGCCACGGGGGCAAGGCACAGTGGCTGGGCTCTTGGCCGTAGCTCAGGATAGAAAACAGCTCTAATTTTTGGAATTCAGGGTAAGAGGTGAGTAAGAAGTATCAAAGCTCAAAGACCATTGAGAAGTGCAGGGTTGGTGCCAGGAACATGGGCTCGGACACATGCATCTGTCACACCATCTGTCAGCCACTGTTACATTCCACCTGGACGTGAAGAGCCCAGTGAAACATATGCCTCACGACTAATTAACGGATGCAGTCTCGTTGCAGGGGCTGTCCAGAGGCCACAGCTGAAAAGGTGAGAGGCTCCAACTTCGGGGACTTTATGAATGTATCTACACATCCTTATGGGACAGCCAAGTGCCTGGCGCCAGGTCTGAGGCTCGGCATCTTAGCCCTTGCGCAGAGACACAGGTCAATGCCATCAGACACGGCGGCGCGGGCCCTGGCCAGCAGCACTCCAGTCAGGAAGCTGTGGGGAGGGGAAGGCCAGGGCACAGAGGGGGCATGTGAGCCAAGGCAGGAGCAGGACAGTCTCTGAGATCCAAAGCCACACACTGGTCACACCATGGCTGGAGATGGTCACGGACTCCACAGGACTGAAGACTTAAAGGGGGAATCTGTAGGGGAAACCCAAGATGTGTGAGGACGGTGGCCGAGGCAGTCCCACAGCAGTGGCGCCTGCACCACGCATATCCCCAACACCGCATGCTTCTCCCACATGGACGGGAGGCCCCAGACACAGCTCCCCACTTGTGCTGACCTTAACACGCCACAGGTTTCCTAGTCAGATCAAACCTAAGGGGCTGAATCCTTCCCTGTGTCTGTCCTTGTGAAGGGCAGATTTTAAAAAATTTCTGCCGTGGGGGCCTGGGCAAGGGGCAGAGATTTGCTTGTGGCCACTGGTGGCTGGGAAGCAGAGGCCACGCGGGCCCACGCTGGCAAGTGGGAACTGTCCCACTGGAAGGTCTTTCTGTACCAAGGCTGCCAGGGTGACACCCTCAGACGCCATCCAGCATGAGCCAGGGCCTCGGGAATCAGCCTCAATCCCACAGAGGCTGCTTGATGCAGGCTCCCAGCCCCGGCCAGCCACAGAGCCGCTAGGGCGCTGGAGGAGCACCTGAGCACCTGCAGAAGCCACCCGGGGCTGGAGTGCGAGCCCTCGGCCCACCCCTCTTGACTCCCAAGTGCCACAGACAGTGGCCAGCAAGTGAAGGGAGACAGGCAGGGGTAGAGCTGACTTCAGACGAGAACAGGTGACCCGAGGCAGGAAACACAGAAGGAGCCATCCAGGGGAAGAATTCGGAGAACATTCCAGAGCACAGGGCAGCACCGGCCTAGGCCAGGAGGGGCCACATGCTCCAGGAAGGTAAGGGAACCAGAGAGGCCAGAGCAGGGAACGCAGGGCAGAGGAATGACAGGGAAGGGTGGAGAACCAAGCAGGGCCCAGTCACCCAGGCACGGAGTGGGTGCCCATGCCCAGCATGGTCCGAGCTAAACCAGCATGGACAGGGGGCACGAGCTGAGGGGGCACGAGCAGGGGCACGAGCTGGGGGGGCATGGGCAGAGGGCACAAGCTGGGGGGGCACGGGCAGAGGGCACGAGCTGGGGGCACAGGCAGAGGGCACAAGCGGGGGGGCACGGGCAGAGGGCACGAGCTGAGGGGACAAGCAGCTGATTACAGGGCTGCTCAATAATCCAAAAACGGCAGAGGACCTGGGGTACGTACGGCCTACATGAGACTCACTGTCTTTGAACTTCCCAGGGTTCCTAGCACAGAGGCTCATTTAACTGGAACTCTGGTCAGATGGAGGTGGTCTCTAGTGACAGCAAGCATCTCTGGACTTAGGACCTGGAGATCACAAGCAGAGGACCTGAGGCAGGCAGCAGGAAGGGCAGCAGCTTCCCTCTTGGGCCTCCCTGACCGTCACCCACACGGGAACACGGGCAATGCAGGGCCAGTGAGGATGGTGCAGGGACGGTAAGCAGAGGCTCTCAGCTGGAGCCACCACACTGCTAAAGATCCCCGCAGCCTCTCACAGGAGTAACAGTGCTAATCCGTACTTAACTGAGCTCTCCATGGTGAGATAATATTTTTAAAGTGAATACTTGACAAGAATTCAGAGTTGTTTTTCAAACGATGAGTCAAAATCATGTCAGAGTGTCACTGAGACCCTCCAGGAGGGATGACGTGGGCTCCCCACGCCCACACCGAGAACCTCCCTGACTCAGGGTGAGAGCCAGCTCTGGGGGAACTGCCGCCCACCATCTCCGTCCTCCCCGGGCTCCAACCTCAAGGCAGTATCAGGACAGCCGCGGAGCTCATCCTCCCACAGGCTTCAGGCCCCATCTGAGGGCCAGTATGCAAACGTCCAGACCCAGTGCACCCAAGGCCAGCTGCGCGCTCCACCCCACACGGAGCTGCCCCAGCAATGGGTGGCTCCTCTGCACTGTGGGTCACACCGAGCCCTCCCTCCACAGCCACTGGCCTCATCCAGGCCTCAACAATTCTTCCTGGCCTTTCTTCAGCACTGCAGGGGACTCTGACCGCAGCAGAGTGGCCACCTGGCCTGTCCTCCCAGGGATCTCCTGCCTCAGCATCCAGCAGGACCCAGCTTGTGCCAGCCTCTTGGGGCTCACGGCTCACAGCGCCACGCCTG